TCTAAGTTCTAATTCATAGTCTTCCACTATCCAGCCATGTGAAGTTGGGTAGATTTCTTAACATCTCAATATTCTCATCTGGATTAAGAGTGAAAGTCAATTATCATATGGTTTCACTTACTTGTTGAACATAAGTAATAACATGGATTACAATAGGAGAAGGAAAGTAAAAGTGAAGGGGGGTAATCAGAGGGGGAGATGAACCATGAGAGACTGTGGACTCTGAGAAACAAACTGAGGGTTTTGGAGGGGAGGGCAGTGGGGGGATGGGTGAGCCTGGTGGTGGGTAATAAGGAGGGCATGTATTGCATGGATCACTGGGTGTTGTACATAATGAATCTTGGAACACTGAATCAAAAACTATTGATGTATTTTATGGCGACTAACGTAACACACTAAAAATGAAAAAAAAAAGAGTGTTGGGTTCATTAAAGGATCTCTAAATTTCCTTCTAGCAATAGTATTTGATTTTCCTCTCAACAGTTTATTACTTAAAAAAAAAATCTCTTGGCTTCCACTGTAATACAGGGTTTGAAATATGTTGGTTAAATCAAGTAAAATATTCATGATTTGATAAGAAAAATAAGGAAGGATAGCTGGTATTTATTGGATGCTTACTGTGATCCAGGCACTATAGTAAGTGGTTTATGAATGTTATCTCATCCACTCTTCAGAGCAATCAATTAAAATAGAGTTTATGTCCATTTTATAGATGAAAAAAGTAAGGCTCAGAAAGGCTAAAAAATATGTCTCAGGATATTTTTTTCCTGAGGATTTTTTAAAATAAAGATCTATTTGATTCCAAAACTGATTTTCATAACAACTTATATATACTTTTAAAAAATAGCTTTTAAAATATTGATGTATAGTTGATATACTATGTTATATTAGTTTCAGGTGTACAACTTAGTGATTTAACAACTCTATACATTATACTCTGCTCACCACAAGTGTAGTTACCATCTGTCACAGTATAAGACTATTATAATACCAATGATTATATTCCCTGTGCTGTGCCTTTCATCCTCATGACTTATTCATTCCATAACTGGAAACCTGTACCTCCCACTCCCTTCACCCATTTTGCCCATCCCCCCCTGGCTCCTTCTGGCAACCAACAGTTTGTTCTCTGTATTTATGGTTCTAGTTTTGCTTTTTTGTTTGCTCATTTTATTTTTTAGATTCCACATATAAGTGAAGTCATATAGTATTTGTCTTTCTTGGTCTAACTTATCTGTTAGCATAATACCTTCTTGGTACATCTGTTATTGCAAATGACATCTTATTCTTTTTAATGGCTGAATAGTATTCCGTTATATATACATACCATTTCTTTTTTATCCATTTGTCTACAATAGACACTTGGGTTGCATCCATATCTTGGCTATTGTAAATAATGCTGAAATAAACATAGGGTGCATATATCTTTTCAAATTAGTGTTTTTGTTTTCTTTGGTTAAATACCCAGTAGTAGAATTATTGAATTGTATGCTATTTCTATTTTTAATTTTTTGATGAAACTACACATTATTTTCCACAGTGGTTGTACCAGCTTGTAGTCCCACCAACAGTACATGGTTCTTTTTTCTCCACATCCTCACCACACTTGTTATTTCTTGTCTTTCTGATACCAGCCATTCTGATAGGTGTGAGGTGATATCTTATTGTGGTTTTGATTTTAATTTCCCTGATAGTTATTGATGTTGAGCATCTTTTCCTGTGTGTATTGGCCATTGTATGTCTTTGGGATAATGACTGTTCAGGTTCTTTGTCCATTTTTTTCATTGGATTGGTTTTTTGCTATTGATTTTTGTAAGTTCTTTATATATTTTGGGTATTAACCCTTTATCAGATTTATCATTTACAAATATCTTCTCCTATTTGGTGGGTTGTCTTTTTGTTTTGTTGACAGTTTCCTTTTGTGTGCAAAAGCTTTTTATTTGGATATAGTCCCAAATAGCTTATTTTTGCTTTTATTTCCCTTGCCTGAGGAAAAGTCATCTAGAAAAATGTTGCAAAGGCTGATGTCAAAGAGATTACTGCCTATGTTTTCTTCTAGGAGTTTAATGGTTTCATGTCTCACATTTAGGTTTTTAATTCATTCTGTGTTTATTTTTGTATATGGTGTAAGAAAGGGGGTCCAGTTTTCCCAATACTGTATTTTGAAGAGACCATCTTTTCCTTATTGTAATATATTTTTGTCTCCTTTGTCATAAATTAGTTGACTATATTCATTTACATACACTTTTTATTTAATGGCCACTTTTCAAGAAGCAAATTGTTTTCTAGATGTGGGGTTTTAAAGCAGAGGTCTAGGCAGCTTGGAGATGTATTTTAGTTTTCTTCACTTTATTCTGCTTAGATTTATTTTTAAACTATATAACTTACATATTCAGAAAATATACAGATACAGCTAGTTTTTTTTTTTTCCTGTTCATTCTCATTATCCACCACTTAGTTATCTAATATGGGAAGCATCATTCCCTGTGAGAGGTAAAGGAATAAACTCAGAATTTCAGACAGTCATTCTTTAAGAACAAAAATTTGACAGCTTTCCATAAACTTTATAGTGTCTCAGGACAGTCCCAAGCACAAGAAGAAACGTATTATTTTTATGAGTAAATTTTACTTACAAAGAATGGATAAGGATTTCGGTTAATCAAAAGCTAGAGGTCAAGGAGAAACGTAAGAGAAAAAGAGAAAGAAATAGAGAAAACAAAGGAATAGAGAGAAGACATATGCCATATTTAAAAGTATATGATAATTTAAGCAATTTAACATGATAGTAGTTCCTAAAAATATTACATAAAAAGTTTCATTGTAAGTAAATTAAATGAGCGTGTATTATAAAACAACTGTTCAATAATTGTCAGTTTGCTGAAGTGTTATGTTTTCTTAGAATCAAAATTGCATTAAAGAAAGATTTAGTGTCTTAACTGAAGTCAAATCTGTAAGTTTATATAGAGGCCTGTTAAATATTTATGTGGCAAAAGACCTTGAAGTACTTATAATGTGATTAACATGGAAGAAAGGAGTAGGAGAAGCCAGGAGTACATAAATCCTTATTTTACCCTCTTCTTCTATTATGAAGTCTCTTTATCATTCTGCTTGCTCACTCTGTGAGATTTTCTATGTCAGTCTGCAGGGGCATTCCATTGGAAGTTACTCAAATTTCACATTACTATGTGTTCCCAGAATGATCAAGAAAACTAATTGCAATGTAAAAAGTTGTAATATAAATTCTTTACAAAGACTTAAGAAGCTGGTAATTGGCTCTTTAATCTTGGTCTGAGATCAGGTGTGCTTTTCTAGGAAAATAATTTTCTCTTCAGAAAGTTGCCATGATTTTTGGTAGGCAGAGAACTGGTCTCCTGATGCACAGTTCTGTTTTTTCCATAAACGCATTGTGTGGGGAGGGTCCTTTCAAAATAGTTTTGGTTTAGTTTTTATTGACACTAAACAAAATATTGTCTGGTTCAAACAAAATATCTGTTTAGCCCAGTACAAGACTGCTCCATTCTGGGTGGAGTTGAAGTAGAAATAGGGGTACAGCTCTGTACCTTGGTCACTTCACTCACACAGTAAGCATTTTCCATTGAACCTCTTGAGTCTGGGCAGCACAATTTAAAAAGCCTCTGGTGGAATATAAAGATCACTAAGTTAAGAATCCAGTAACCTAAACCATGGTCCCGGTCCTGCTCTCAACAAGCGGTATTCCCGAACCTCTGTGGGTCCAAATTTCCTCATCTGTGAAATAAGGAGACTGAACTTGGTATCTTTCAGCTCAAATATTGGAGGGAACTATTAGCAACTGAATGCAAATGATTAAACTTCTGTGCTTTATCAGTTTTCTACTGCAAAATAAGATGCTCACTGAAGGGTAAAATTTTCATGCTTACTTTGGAAGTATTGAGAGGTTTTTTTTTTTAACCTTAAAAATTTTAAGGGAGTTAAGAGAAAATTGCATAATAAATGTAAAATATAAAATTATGCTGTTCTAAGCGATTTCACTATATCCTTCTTTCTCACCTCATTGCAAATAATCAGCGTATTTTATTGGTTTACTCAGCAAACATGGACTGGCCATTAGAGTGCCAGTCAGGATAGAAAAGAGGACTGGAGAATGACCACTATTCTCTAAACATTCATAGTCCTCTCCTCAAACACATAAGGGAATGTGGTTTTAACAATGTATTATCAAAAGAACTTTTTTGATTGTGATGCTGCATCTTTTCTGAATGATGGAGATGGTGCTGCAAACGAGCATACTGAAACTAAATGAAAAGTGAAGTGTAGTCATTTAGAAAGATCTACATATCTGAAAACATGTTTTCGTTAAGGAGAATGGCTTTGTTGTAATTGATCTCTGATCAACTTGAGCAAAGAGTGTTGAGTACTACAGGCATAATAGGCTTTGCTTTCCCGATAAGCAGAGTATCTCTTAAATATGAAGATGGTTCCATTGTCTAGAAGGAGATAAATCTCACCAACCCTGCCCATATTGGCTGAATGATTCTGGATTATTGTTTGTTGCTTGAGATGGATCAGGGCCAAAAGAGGGACGAGTTGAAGATGCCGAAAGAGGTCTTTGAAGGTTTGGAAGGGAACTGTGAAAGACCCATTCCTTCTAGGTTTGTCTCCAGACTCCCTTGCTGTGATAGGAGGGACAGCCCTTGGGGCAGGTCTTCCTTTGTTATGCACCCAGCTCCATCCACGTATGCACCCACTCACTCTGAGAGGGGCTCTCCCCAAGGTGGAGCCGAAGTCCACCTCTTACTGTAGACATAGCATCCTCCCCACATGCCCACCCAACTGTTGACTGGCGTTCAAGGGCCACCACCACCACCCACCCCAGCACCATCTTCCAGGAACTGGCCTCTTCCCCATTAGTCCCCGCCTCTCTTCGGAGAGCACCCAATGGGTGGAGTCGGGGCCGTGGTGGGAGGGGCCCGAGGCGGGCGCATTTAAAGAAAGGCAGAGGGCGAAAGGAGGCTAGAGAGGAGAAGAAAGAAACCAGGGGGCCAGGCGCCGTCCAATGACAAAGCCCAGGGGTGGGCGCCGGCCGCCATCTTGTACCGGGCGGCAGGATATTCACCCGCGTCTTCCGCCCTCGGAGGGGGAGGGGCGGCGGCCGAGGCGAGAAAAGTAGCGAGAGACGCGCCGGCCCGGAGGCGCCAGCAGCGGCCGCCGCCGCGGAGCCGGACGCGGGCGGGGGCGGCGGCGGCGGCGGCGGCGGCGAGACCCGGCGAGCGCGGGCGGCCCCGAGCGGCCTCCGATGCGGCGCAGCGTGAAGAGGCGGCGGCGCCGGCCCCCGGCGGCCGCGGCCCCGGTTGCCCGGGGCGGCGGCTTTAGGGCTGGAGGAGGGGCCGAGCTGGAGGCGCGGGAGGAGAAGGTGGTGTACTCGCGGTCGCAACTGTCGCTGGCCGACAGCACCAAGGCACTGGGCGACGCCTTCAAGCTGTTCATGCCCCGCAGCACGGAGTTCATGAGCTCGGACGCGGAGCTCTGGAGCTTCCTCTGCAGCCTCAAGCACCAGTTCTCCCCGCACATCCTGCGCAGCAAGGACGTCTACGGCTACTCCTCCTGCCGGGCCCTGGTCCCCGACCCCCCGCCGCCCCCCGCAGCCCGCGGCCAGACGCGCAGGCCGGCGGCCAGGAGGAGGCGCCGCGGAGCCCGGGCGGCCGCCGCCCGCCGGAGGGGGGCCCCGCCGGGCCCGCCGCCGTCGCCGCCGGCCCCCGAGGACATCTGCCCCGCCAAGCCCGCGGCCCCCGGGCCCTGCTTCGGGGGCCGCACCCTGGAGGAAATCTGGAGGGCCGCCACCCCGACGCTGACCACCTTCCCCACCATCCGCGTCGGCGGCGACGTGTGGGGCGAGCGCAGCCTGGCGGCGGCGCGGCGACGGGCACGCCAAGTCCTGCGAGTGAACCTGGAACCCGTGGTGAGGCTTCGCCGCTTCCCGGTGCCTCGGGCGTGAGCCGCGGCCCTGGCCCCTGCGCCCCGGGACGGCTTCCGCCTGGAGGGATGAACAAGTGACAGTCGAGTGTTTACAGATCCGGCCTGGACCGCGTCCCCTAGTGCACTTTACGGGCGAAGAAGCACCGGATGGGCTTTCCCGGCCCGCGTCCCCGGGATGCGGCGCCGCCGTCTGGGACTCCGGGGCATGTGTGCCCTCTGCTGCCTCCCAGCACCAGGTTTGCGGAAGGAGGAGACAGCTGGACCTGCAAGGGAGGTCCCCTTTCTTCCTAAGCCCAGACTGATACGTCTCCAGGACTATAGGGGCAGATCCGTTTTCTCCCTTTTGGACTCTCTACCTCACTGGTCTGGAAGTCCTCCGAAGTCATTCGTTTTCCAAAGGAATTTGGTTTCGTGCTTGTGTAATAAAGCTAGAATTTACTTGCTGTTCATCCACCCCCCTGCTCCCCCCTTTTTTCTTTTTTGACTGCCACCCCTCTTTCTGGAGGAAAGATCGAATATGTTTTTTTGAAAGGTGTTGCACTAGTTTGTGCTCAGGGTATTCTGAATCCCACTCGTTTTCGAATCTCAACTGGATTCCAAAGCTTTGACCAAGGATATTGTCTAAGAAATTCAAGCTTATGACTCTTAATAGTGTAAGGATTTGTATGGCTTTGAATTTCATGGGCTCAGTGATTACAAACAGATGCAAAGTACAACTGTTTCAGCATTTTTGAGGTGTTTCCTAAAGATTTTATATTGAAATTTAATGTTTATATTTACTGAGCTCCTAAAGGAAATGGTAGAAACTCATAGTTTTGTTTAGGAAAAGTTGAATTTTGAATTCTTTTTAATTGAATAAAATTTAAAGTGCATTGAAACCTCATGGCTTGTGACAAAAAAAATAAAAGAATGCGTGAATTATAAAGAACTGGTGTTGGTTAAAGAGATGGGTGGAATCCGATTGGAAATGATTTGGCTTCCTGGTAGTAGTCTAACATTCAGATCTGGAAATAGTTCAAGGATAATTTATTTTAAAATGGAAATTGCTTAGGCAAAATGAGTATGTGTAAAGGCTGTGATTAAAATGCCAAACAGAATACCCATTGGAATTCTCAGAAGTATTAATGATCTAGAGGGGTGGGGCATTTCTTGGTATCAAATAACTGGTGGAAGTTAACTTTGGGCAAAATAGATTTTCCTTCCATGTTTTTGTTTTTGTTTTTGTTGGATAACAAGAAATGGCTGGATCACTGTCCATTACTCTTAAACATCATGACAATTAGTTTTGCTCCACGAGTTTCCTTTATTATCTTATTTCCATTCATAATTATGTTTGCAGTATTGGTCTTTTGTTTGACAGCCGAAGACCACAGGAATTGAACAGGCGAGCCACACAGAGTACTGACCCCTCTTTTACACTTTTGTAATAGTGTTTATATCACATGGCCCAGTGTGGAATTCTTGATTATCCAAGTGCCTTTGGTCATTGATGGCAGCAAGACTTAATGGTTTTTAGCCAGTGGTGCCGCAGCCAGATCTTAACTGCAATATCTAAAGGGTCAAGTAGCGATTTTGTACCACTATTATTTCAAATTTAAGTATTCTGCCATGGAACCATCCATACCAGGCTGGAACATGACATATGAAATCTTCAATATTAAGGTTTCTCTCTGCTTGGCAGCTTCATAGGGGAATAATGAGAGTTGGCGATTTTGACTCTTGTGTTTTTAGAATTCAAATGGCATAGCTTTCTGAAATGAATTTTTCAAGTTTAATAATTCATCGTAGGAGTTTTGTGACTTTAATTTCAGTGTATTTGTTTTATAAAAAAAAGAAAAAAAGATATATGACTTTATGCCAGTTTCCCAGTAAGCCTCATATTCTTTTATTCACTACTCGATGATAATGTGTTGTTACAAATACTGTCACATGAGTAAATAAAAGTGAATAATTACTTAGAAGATGGAGAGTGTTATATTTGTGTGATAGGAAGCTTATATATATTCTTTTGGTTATTAGCTTCCATTGCCAATTGTACTTAAATGCATAGGGTTTTCTTTCCCTCTTCCCAAATGGTTAACTTTTTTAGCTAATTAGCACCTGAGGGAAAAATATGTATTTGTACCACTTCACTATTGTATATAATTTTATAATAACTGAAAATAAATCCAATGGCCATATTAGAATGTAACTTCAACATATAGCTTATTTAGATAGCTTCCCAGAGGATTTTGAAATTAGATGTAGCTGGGAGGATAACTTTGCTCAGCACAAAATTGAAGCATAACCATTGATACCATGCATTTATTTTAACTGAGAATCTTATTTTTTTCCTCTTATGCCTTGTTACTTTAGTGCACTTGAACTTGCATATATGCTTTGGATTATGCGGGCTATCTGATTTCAGTGTGGATCTGATTGCCCATCCTAAATTCAGTATGTTAGTTATCTGGTCTGTTGAAAAATCATGCCATTTCTAGTTTGTGAAATAAGATGTAAACAAATCTTTATTTTTGCCAAGTTTCCTTTAGCAAAACCTTGCTAAAGTTAGTTGTTTTACAACTTATAAAATGTGAAGAAACAACTAGTACAGTTGATGAGTATATAATAGGAAAATGAAAGTATTTTATGGATACTCTTGGGCAGAATGTGAAAAGGAACTTGGCACGGTGGCCTTTATGGTTCATTTAACTGTCTTCTAAAGTGAGTCTGTAGCTTAGCTTGTTTGTATATAGTTTTTTGAAAGAAATACCATGATCTTTAATTCATTCTCTTACCTTTATATCTCATATGGCACAAGTAAAGGGGGAAGCTAGGAGGATGTTTATCACCTTGCTATGCTATTATTGAATCTTGAGTGCCTAAATGTGGCGAGTGGCACCTCAAAGAACCTTTTGAATCCTTGATGTCATTTTTATCCTCCTCCTTGTCAACCAGCAACTGATTTTTCCTCACGGAATCCAGTAATGTTCTGACTGTTGAGGGCAAGTTTCGTTGTTGTTAGTGCAAAGTGTCACTGTTGTGGTATGTATTTATTTTGTCCAAGTTTGAGCACCTGATTGGACATGTGTAATTTAAGCTGGTGGCTGACACACACTGATTTGCTGTGTGCAAACCATAGTACTATTTTTCTGGAAATGATTCAATAAGAACACATGAAAGATATTTGAATATGAAAAATCTGAGCAATTTTGAACTCAAAAGTTTTTTTTGTTGTTTTAAGGATTGCCACAGCACTCTTTAAATTGGTGTTTTTTAATGGACATATATACATAATACTTTATTGGTGTGTTTAAAATATTTTTGATAGACTGTTATGTCTTAAGTGCATTAGAAGGCAATTGTTTGTAATGGAACTGAATTGTTTTCTTGGACAGTTTGATGTGCGCATATGATTAAGATTTACAATCTGGTTGTACTTTTCTTTTTAATTTATTAACTGTAAATAAATTTTAGAGAATATACAGTGTCTGATTTTTCTAGTGATGTTGTAAGTGTTTGTAATGGGATTTTCTGTTTGCATGTGAAATGGAAAGCGTTGGTGTGATACGTTTTGACTTCTTTTGTGGACTTGGGAATCCTCAAAATCCTGAGATAATGTGTTTTATGCTATCTTGGGAGTCAATGTTACATAAGCTCTGACAACCTAGTGAATCTCCATGACAGTGCTTCATGCCCAAACCCAAGCCATTACCCAGTTTGCCATCAATAAAGACTTTAAAAACGCATCAAAATTAAGTTTTGAGTCCTGACCCTGATCCCCCTGCCCCCTGTGATGTGTTTTCATATTATGAAAGAAAGCTGTGTTCTATATGAGTAGCATCTGTAAAGCCTGTTCTACAGAATAGAGCAGAGGAAAAATTTTCATTATAGTCTGGAGGGTAGAAGTGTACTGCTAGTAATGGAAGGACTCATAGTGCTATGTGGCCTGAATTTGCCTTTGTATCTGAGTTCTTACCAATAATTGGAGGCAGCGGTGTAATGGCTATGGATCACATTGCCTGGTATGGGATTAAAGCTTTGCTACTTAACAAGCATTAGAACTCTGAGTAAGTTTCAAAAACTGCTCTGTGCTTCAGTTTCAAGTATCAAATGTGGTTAGTCAAGGAAACTACTGGGTTATTGAAAGGATTAGAAAAATTATTAATGGGGGAACACATAGGAAATGCTTAATAAATGCTATTGGAGCCATGTATGCTGAAAAAATATATATAACACACACACACACACACACACACACACACACTGAGTGGTCCTTTGGGAGTTTAGCATCCTCAAAGTAGAGTGTGGACTGGGAAACTCAAAAGATAAATTATGAGAAGGTAATTTGTGGGTGCATTAAATGGAAGGCAGGGACAGCAGGAGGTTGGATTAAGTTGATTTATTAGGTAGTTATCACAATTGGAGGTTTTCCAGGCTTAAAAACCTTGGGCCCTTTTATCATATCTCTGAAAAATACTCAAAATATGCTCTTAGGTATATTAAACTATCTGAGACTTTATAAAAGTAATAGATTAAAGTTACTGATCAAGCACTTGCTAGATCTCAACACTAAATTTTCACTTGGAGTAAGCTCAGTAAGGCTTGCTTAAAAACCATGTTAACATGTACAGAACTAACCTCGAATCAGTTTGTGTGAGCTTTGTACTTCCTGTGTTAAAGGGAACAAATGAGTGCAATAGTTAGGTTTGAAACAGCATAACCTTATTACCAAAAGTAAAGAAATACCCTCACATTGGAAGCATTGACACACTCATCTTTAGATTTTGGGTCTAATGCCTGTAATTTAGCTTTCATTTCTCCCAGCATGAAGAAAAACAACGTATTCTAACTTGGTGAGCAAGCCAAAGTTGCAGTTTCTGAAATGAACACAAAAAGAATTTCCCTAGATGGACGTTATCCAGTGGTAAGAAGCCCCAAACTGAGCCTGATTGTAGATTTTGCAAGAGAAATGACATCTCACTGTCAGTACTCACTTGTCTTGGTAAATGTCACCGTAAGCCATAGTTTATAACATGATGAACATATCCAGAGCCCAATTGGAAGGCAGTACTCATAACAACACCACCAAACAGTATGGCTCCCCAGCAAGTTCAAATAAATATTCTACTGTACACAAAACCGGACTTCTTCT